ATATATAGTAGTATAGTATAGTAGTAGTATATAGTATAGTAGTACGTACTTACGTTACTACGTACTACTACTACTACGTACGTACGTACTTACTTCTTCTCTCTCTCTCTCTCTCTCTCTCTCTCTCTCTCTCTCTCCTCTCTCTCTCTCTCTCTCTCTCTCTCTCTCTCTCTCTCTCTTGGATCTGGGGGTGGGGTAGATGAGCTGTTAGAGTTGAACCCAGGATGGTATGATATATGCAAATTAAACTTAGGTGTCTTTCTTTCTGTAGATTTCACTTTTGTCGTCAGCTTTGCACTTATTTTTTGTACCTCTGATCATTTGAGCTTTGGGTTCTTGAACTACTGGTTGACAGGATTGGAAAAATAGCCAAGTTGATTATATTCCTTAGTTGATCAGAAATAGAAATAAGGTTCATTGTGACATAGTATTTCCTCTGAATTGTTTGCAATATCTTGCATTCTCCTGGAAAAGTCTGGTATAAGTTGGTTTAAGAGTGTATTAGTGGCCAGGTTGGTGACAAATCATGGTCCTAAACTGTAACCCACCTCTCCTGAGCTTCCGATTTTGCCCATTCATTATGTTTATCATTCCTTTATATTTTTTCTCTTGATATTTTACCTCTCGCTCTCTCATACACACACACATAAAAAATATTTGGTATTTTCTCTAAATCAGAACTCATTTTGATTTATCTTTTTCTGAGAGCAGGGGAAAGGCAAATTTCTTTGAGAGAAGGGTGGGTGACTATCAAAAAGCTTCAGTCATGTCTAACATCCACAATGGAGTGGACAACCATGTTTTTACAACTGATGAGGACTTTTAACTTTGAAAAAAATCGTCTCCTATTCCATTTGTAAGTATTCATGATGCTCTTAAGGCATCTCGGTATTGGAATCTGAGAAAATGTTTCCTATTCAATTTGTTTGTATTTATGATGCCTGTAAAGCATCTCAGTTTTGGAAGCTTTATCATGGGTTATTTTATTCTTTTTAGCATGAATTAACAGTAGACTTTGTAGTGAGACAATAAATAAAAGGGAAAATATCAAGAAATGGGTTGAAACCCCGGGGTAAAATGACAACAGATTACATTTTGAGGCTTTTAAGTTTCTTTATCAATCAGGTATATCCTCAAAAAAATTATTGAAAAACTCTTAAATGCAGCTATGCGGTATTTGAAATGTAGAGCAATCAGGGGTATCTTTGTGTATAGGCAAAGTATTGGTACTATTTTAAAAAATGCCCTTCAGAACAAAAAGTTTCCACATGATTCTCACTTCTTAATGCTGAAAAACTAGGGCTAAAATAGTATTTTTCTCTGGCAAATAGGTCAAGTAAAAAGACCATCTTGCCCCTCTAAAATCAATATTAGGAATGCTGAGTAAAAATAAATAAAAAGACTGTCTTGTGAGCATACTTCCTTATGAAGCAGGGTATTTGGGCTTGAATACAGAATCACAAAAATATAAAGTTCATATGCTTAAGAAAAATAATTTAGAAGTATTACTAATTTAGAAGTATTACTAACAAGTTTTGAGGACCTCTTCAAGCCATATGCTTAAGAAAAATAATGTCTCGATATTATATTGAAACGGTTCGAATTTTCAGAGGTGAGATCAATGTGTTAGAAAACTCAAAATTCAATTTTTTTTTTTTTTCTATTGAATAATCTTAGGTGGTTCTCAAAACTTTGAATTAAAAATTATTATCGAGTTAGTCTTTTGCCTGAGAGAAAGTAAGTATACAACATTGGAAAATCCTCTAATGGATCATCTTGATTTCGAGATATATAGATATGGGAAAAGAGATTTTGAGTTCCAAATTGTATATTATCTGGACTGTTTATTTTTACAATTTTTATATGTATATAGATCTATTTGATTTAAATCATTATTTAAACTTAAAATTTTATGATTACATATAAAAATGGATTATCAAGCCATCCTAATAATTTTTTATACTAAAGTTACATGATGAACTTGAGAGGTATACTTATTTTATTTTGATTATTTAACGTTGCAGCACCCTTACAAATAGTGTGAGACAAAAGTAAATTGAGGTTGGTGCCGCTGTGAGAGAAAGAGACACCAAACATTAAAAGGAGAGAGGACGAGAACCGTGCCCTGCGTTAAAGGGCGAATCATAAAAAGAGCGAGAGAGGAGGCATTCATTAAATTTGTCAAATATCTTCCAAGTGGATCGGTGGGTGGTGGCAGGCGAATGCATGAGTGTTTGTCTTGCCTTTTGCTCACCATTCCCTTGATTGAGGCCCACCCATAAAGCCCTCGATCGTGACCCTTCCTCTCTCTCTAAAAGTCCAAATGCTTCTGGCTCGGCTTGGCTCAATTTCAACTGTATCATATTCACTCGAGAGTTTTGTTTCGTTTAGGGAGAAAAATGAAGCCATTAAGTACATTTTGGAAGACATCATATTTTTTTAAAAAAATTAATATATATATATATATATATATATATATATAGATATTTTTTTGTTTACACCGAAGAGGTTGAAGCTTCGACTGAATTAGCCATACCTGAATCTGACCAACGTGCCAATACCAAACTTCATTTTGTTTCGGTCTAGGCCCAAAATCCAAAGGCTTCGGCCTCTTTAGGCAAAGCGAGGAAATTTGATAATACTACTCCCAAGTCCAATATACCATGGCCTTCATAGTAAAGCATTTTTTCTAACTAAAAACAAGATATAGATAATTTTTGAGGAACTGTTTACAAGAAACCATTTATCTTTTGTGCATGGAGGTCACCATCATTTTATTCTTGTCCATTAAATTTCATAATGGATGGTTGTAAGAGTGTCATTGAATAGACACAAAGTTCCAAAAAAAATTCTCGAACTTCATAACTTACCTTAAGCCATCCAATTTGACATCTAATGAACGGGAATGATTGTGACCTCCACATATAAAAGATAATGATCTCTTTAAAGACAATCCCAAATTTTAGAGTGAGAAAGAGATCCAAAATGTCTCCAACATGCAAAATATAGTAAGGCCTAAAAAGAGCCAAAATAATCTCTCATTGATTAATTATACAAAAAATAGTAATACGAATCTCCTCCAAATTTACACCAATGAACTTACATCCTAACTAAAGTCTGGCATTTCCTAACTTGGAACCGGTTGAGTCAGCTTCGGATCGGGTTTCTTGGCAATGGAGGCCTCCGACCTAGGGACTCCCTTTTGTAATAGTTCATCTCGTATAGGTATTTTGATACATTGCCTTTTTAAAATTTGAAAGAATATGAAATTCGATATTTTTGTGGAATTTTAACTTCAGCTTCAGATATCTTTAACATCTCTTTGATCTTTTTTTTTGCCCCGCACCCGGTTTTACTTAATAGAAGATAAAAAAAGTTGTAGTACACTATTTCCAATCCTACTATAGAGCAATTGCGCAACATCATAAATTAAAAGAAGAGAAAAAAAAGGCTGTACGTCTAGATCGCCAAATGGTGACATCTGAAAAATCTGTAGCCTATTTAACAAGTACATCAGCTCTCATATTGGCCTTGTCAAAAACATGGCAAATAGACCATGAATGATTTGCAAGTCTAAATTTGTAAATAGAGATTTGCAACTGCTACGATAACTTTTATGAGTAAAGAGGACTTACTTTCAATTTGCAGGGGGAAACAATCCATCTATAAAGCTAAGTCAACACCCACTTCCAAACCACATAATTCTGCATAGTTATTGGTGCGCTACCAAGGGGAATAGCAATTGCAGCAATGAAGTAACCATCGTCCTTTTTAATGACGCCTCCACAGCTTTCTCCCTTTGGATTCTCTTTGATCTATAGCTAGACCCAATAATCTTAGAGGTGGGCATGGTTAGCATGCGGCCAACCCGCATATTCTAAAAATACAAGGTTGACAATAAATATATTTTTAAATATAATTTGATCTTAATTTTTAGAGAATATATTATTTAACATAGAGATCATGAATATGAAAAAAAATAAAATAAAAATTTGAAAACTAGAAATAAGAATTATATTAAAAAAATATTTGAACGGTTAGTTACAATTATTTTTAGATAAACCACCTATTTGCATCGATCTTTAAGATGGATGCTTTATGCCTCGGGACCAAAAATGTTGTCCAGCCGACATGAAACAATTGTTCCCTAGAGCTTTGATGTTTTACAATCTTTCGGTCGATTTACAAGTAATAGTTTATCCACCGAGTGGATAATGTAGTAGACTTTTTACAAGGAGCAATATGCTTTGAATCTATAGATTTTTTTCATGAATTTATTTATTTATAATTCACATGGCGGCCTCACCTAACACAGTGAGCCAGCTGACTTGGAAATCATGGAATCAACTTGCCCTAGGTCGGAGCTCATTCCATACACACAAACTATATGCAGTTAACGTTTTATAATAAAAAAAAAATGGTTATTCTAATTTTTCAAAATAGCCATGCGACATGAATTATTGAATTATTTATTTATATTATTTAAATTTTAAAGTTTTATGTTTCTAGAGTCTTATTTGATCGTTATGTACCATTAAAACTAAAAGAAAAGTTCTATAGTACGGTTGTAAAGCGAACTATATTTTATAAAAAAATATTAAGCGGTTAAGAAACAAAATATCTATAGTGTAGCTTGAACAAAGATGTTGAGATAGATAAATGGTAAGACAAGAAATGATTGAATTCAGAGTGAATACGTCCGAAGGAACTCAAGGTGACTCGAATAGACGATAAAATGCCGCACACTAATAGACGATAAAATGCCTTTTCGATCCCGCACATCGTTGGTTATCGATTGTATGCAAGATCGAAAGGCGGGTAAATGTGGAATACATTTAATTTATGGGCAATGCTCTCCCTAAATATCAGTCGAAACTTCCCCGAAATTTCGGTGACATTTTAATGCTTCGAGCCATAAAGCCGAGAGGGTGTGAACTGTGAACCATTCGTGCCAAGTGGGAACAAGTGTGCCCCACTACCAATTGGATGCAAGTTGGGAAGTTTGGCCAATCAGGATACGCCACGTGGAAGCATCTCGGCCATGACGAAAGCCTGGTGTGCCCTATTAACAGCGGCGCTCTCTAACCCAGATGTGGCAAAAGAAAGAGAGAGCAGGCTTTTTTTTAGTGAGAGAGAGAGAGCACCCTCTCTAGTAAGGTAAGGGAAACCAGCATTTCTTGAGAGAGAAAGATAGAGAAGTTGGTCTTCTTTCATGGGGATCCCTGGCGGGTGGTCGAATGAGCCCCTCCCCCAATTCTTATTTTTCCTCTTTAATGGATTTTCACGTCCTTTCTCTCTCCTCTTTCTCTCTTTCTCCCTTATTATACATGCCGTGGGGCTCTGGCGAAAGAACGGTGGCCGGAAAATGAAATTCCGGAGGAGAGGAGATGGAGATGAGAGAGAGTGTGCCATATGCATGGAAAGGTTTAGAGAGAGAGAGGAGGTGTGGTGGCTGTCGTGCCGGCACTTGTTTCATGTTGCATGTCTACAGGAGTGGGTTGCGCTGCTGCATGGGACGTGCCCTGTGTGTAGATGCAGGGTTGACTAATAAATAGAACACACTCTCTCTCTAGCTCTCTCTCTCTCTCTCTAGATCTCCCTCTCTCTCTAGCTCTCTCTCTCTCTAGATCTCCCCCTCTCTCTCTCTAGCTCTCTCTCTCTCTCTAGATCTCTCTCAAATGATATGTGATTTGGTCTCTCTCTCCCTCCCTCTCACGTGTTTTTGCCTGTTTCTTAATCATGTATGAATCTCTTGATTTGAGTTGTATGGTTCTCTCTCTCTCTCTCTCATTTTTGCCCATCTCTCAACGACATGTTAGCTTCTTGATTGAGTTGTATGGTTTTATCATTATACTGCTTCACCTTTCGAACATAAGAAAATGTTATATGGGATCCCTCTCTCCTCTCTCATAAACACCAACCAGCATATCTTAAGGGCCCGTTTCGGTACCCAACGATCTGTTCTGGGGTCAGGCTTCTCCTGGAATCGGCCTCAAGGGTGTATGCTCTTTGGATAGCACCCAGTAAGAAACATGAAATATACATGTCCACTGTTTGGATTGCCCGGAAGATGTGAATCCATAAAAATTTAGTGTACCAGGTTACGTATTTTTTACACTGCATTTAATTTTGTGATATGCCGATTAGCTTCTCACTTTAATTCTAAACTGCAATATTGTTTTTTAACTATGATGAAATCTTTATTATTTTCTTTTTCCTTTTCAATATATCCTTTATATAGTTTTTTAACATTCCAAAGACTGTATTAACATCACTCTATTGGAAATGTATCTAATTATTCTCATTTTTTTAACTTGGATCTATTTTCTCTTTTTCCATTTTTTTTTATTTTATTTTTGATAAATCAGTGGGGGGAGAAGGCTCCCTACCCCGTTTTCAATAATCCAATATAGAAAAAATTACATCATACTATTTTACTACTGTGCAGTAGGTTTCTCTTTCTCCATTTTCTCTTTCTAACATCTCTTCACCTCACTTTATTGGGAAGCAAATGAACTTGACATCAAAGGGCAAGCAGATCCATGTAACTGCCAAATCTTTAAGTATTTTTGCATATATCAAGAGTGAAAATATCTCTCTTTCCATACAATAAGAATGAAAAGCTCTCCCTCTCACATAATATAATCTTAACTATATACATATATCAAGAAACGCGCATCCAATTTTCACCAGTCAAATGCCAATATTTGGTGAACACTACTCTTCTGAGGAAGGCATCCAAATTTCGTAGAAATAAACAAATAATAATGGTAGCCCAATACAAAAAATTCCTACATATAAAAATAGAACTACTTCAGAAGGGAGATAAAAAGAAACTAAAATAAATGAACTTTAAGGCCATCCTTCGACCTTGCAAATTCATCAGTTGAGATCATTTGATTTCTTCTTCAACAAAAATTCATCAGGACAGAGAGCAACGCCATGCTAGGGTTTCAGGAAGGACAGAGAGCTTCTCACAAGCAGGAAAGAGGCACAATGCTAGGATTTCTCTCTGAAGATGTGAGCTTTTAATCCGTAACGTCAAAATGGAGTGAAAAACCTAAATGGGAAGAAACATTTCGGTCCTGGGCACGGATTTTGTTATCCAAAAAAACTTAGAATTCGCTAATTCCACGGTTTTTCGTGGAATAAAGCTATGGACAATATTGTTAGCAAAATAACCCGATATAACCACCAACTAACTGCCCGGTTAGATCGGTGGCCTGTTCCGATTTTGAACGGTTACGGTGATCAAATAGTATTTAAAAAAATTTCAAAAAATTGTACATAAATTATCAAAAATAAGGAATTTGATTTGTAATGTATTTTTAAATATTCTTTACACTATGGTAAAGATTAAAAATTGTTTTGTTCATTAATAATCAGCTTTATATTTTCCCATC